TTATGGCAAATGTCAATGGGTTTATATTGTTGTATGCAGTCTATTAATTTTTTAGTGCCTATGTCAACATATTCAGAGTTGCATTTACTCTGATTTTTATAGTGAATACAATTACAAATTAGGAATAGATTTTTTTTTTCCCCAGGTTTAATTTTCTCTTTTCAAAGCAAGGTTGAAGGACAGAAGAATTATACTAAAGTTTATAATAAGAAAATAAGATTGAAAGAGGTTAGAACTAACTTGCAAAGTTTTCAGAAATATTTTAAAGACTAGTTTTCCTAAATCTGCTATATAGCAGTCTTCTTCCTAGTCTCCCATTTTCCAGCATAACTCTCTCCCCTTGCTTTCTTGCAATACCCTCCAAGTCGCAGACATGTACACATGAAATTTCATGTACGTAAGTTATAAAAATTCTTTGAAAGCAGCCCTGTACATTACAGGCTTTTTTGGCTGAGCCATATCAATGACTAAGCTATGGGAAAAGCCTCCATTCAGCTACACTGTAAAGGAAAATGTGGGTGGGGGAACTGGGCTTTCAGGGTCGAAGTCATTCAGCACTTGGGTGGCAGTGTCGCAAAGAGGAAAGAGGAGGACTCAGCCCCGCAGGCCTGGGTTGGGAGGTTTTTCAGATTTCCACTCTGCAGCCATCCCTCTGGGGCCGGGCAGGCGACAGTGCGAGAGAGAGTGTCATTATTTGACTCAGCATGTTCCTAAGCCACAAAAGAGAAGTGACGTATATAAAATGCATGTTGCTCACTCTTATCTGATAAGAGGGATATCAAGGAGTTTTCTCCACTGCCTAGACATAAAGGAAGTTCTTCTTTGTCCTTGTATTTCACTTTCTCTGTCAGCATGCTTTTCTTCAAGCAATTATTACAACCTTATAGCCTCCTAACACAAAACAGGAGACTATACAGTTTGAGACACACGATATGCAACCACCTGCTACCACATTGCCAAACACCTGTTGTTTAGCTTCCCATTCTAATTACTCCACCAACTTTAAAACTGAATTCTGATCTAATAGATTTAATTTAGGAATATCTCAGATAGAGCTATTTCACCTCCCATTAATTAGGTGGTTTGCCTCCACCAAATCCATGAATTATCCTGCCAGATTAGCAAATGAATAAAGTCTGCCACATTTCTGTGATGCCTCTGCTAGAAAACGGCAATGTTTCACTTACTACTTACTACTCAAATGGTCTCTGGTATTACCGTACAGCCATTCTTTCACACAGTAGGTTTTACTGTAGAACACGCAGTGGTCTTCACTGCAATCAACCTTTTATCTCCTTTAATATCATAAACTGTCTTTCGCAGCGCAGTGCTGTATGAGAATGTTTGCTTTGTTAGGACCACAAGCAACAAATGTAACCTGCCAGCCATCAGTCCACTTGGACTCAGTTTGCAAGATCATTAAGTAAATCTAAAAGTCAAGAGATAACCACAGCCTAACATAACAGTTTTGCTTAAATATGAAGCTTGTGATGACTCAAACTCCTCAAAACAGCGCTCATCAGGCTTGAGCTTCATTCGGTGGATTTAAAGCTGCCTTTGTCTGCCATTATATTTCTTTCTTTCATAAAGCAACAGGATCTCTCAGGACTGTCCAGGCTAATAACATGATAAGCCTTATGATTATCTCACTCTTCTGCTACTCAGATTTCAACTCCAGAAGCAGCACTCTCTTAAGAACTGGTTGCTGCATGAGAACTTTAATTATTACAAGTTTATGAAAAAACAAAAGATGAAAATTAAAATGGTTGTTAGCTACACAGGTGTGATTCTACTATGGAGTTGTCTCATTATGTGTGGTTGTATAGATCAGAACCCATACCTGGAAACAACTCCCAGACACAGAGCTATATCCAGAATGCTGTTATGCATATACTTGTCTAGCAAACCACCAAGGACAAAGAAAAACACAACATTTGTCTAAAATAGGTGAAGCATTTCTAGTTGATATGATAAAATATTAAAGATGCTGTACAGTGTGGCTGTACGATGACATAAGCTGATGCCTTCTAGGTTGTCCCTTCAAGCCCTGTGTTTCTGAAAATACATGGAGTCATACTGTGCATTATCTGAAATTCTTGAGTGGTCCTGAAGTTGACTGGTCAATGCAAACAATCTGCACTAATATCTTTGCATGAATAACCACCAACCACCCAATCAGGACAAAGCTAATAGAGTCATACTCCACATCCAAGTGGAAAGCTTCCAACCTATCAACAAAATAAAGATGTATAAAATAAAGGCTGACGGGGCTAGTACGATCACCTATAGTAGGTGCTCTCAAAGTTGCTTCTCAAAAGAATTCACAGTTGAAAAACCAACAATCAAAAGCAGAAGCAGACATTATCACCAGCCTGCTCCTTGACTATCAACACTTCCAACAGCATAGTCAAAAATTGGACTGAAAATACAATGCACGTTAATCCAAGTTATTATTCAATAACCTACAGAGAAGATGAAAGTTCAGTTATGGTAAAGAGAAGCAGAGATAAGTACGCTCCTCATGTGAAGAATACCACTATCAGAAATAAGCTCTCCATCTTCTCAGCAGCCTCACAGAGGTGTTGACCAACAGATAAAAAAAATCTTGCAAAGCTTCACATGAATGGGATGGGGGGATAAAAATAAGTATTGGTCACCATATGGTTCCTTAAACAAAAGATGCTGCTGTCTTCCATTAATGAACCTTATCTATAAATTAACACAACTTCTGAATAAAACATACTGAGATACCTCCTACTTCACAGTCCAGCTATGCTGCTTATCTAAAATTATTTCAAGACATGTCCATCTAAATAAATAAATAAATAAATGACACTACACTTTCTTCGAGAAATTAAATTTCAGACTATGTGGTAGAAGAAAGTATTCTTCTTCTTACTTATTTCATTTCTCATTTTTCAGGATTTCTTTTTTACCATGTGTGATTAGCTATCCCTTTCACCAGGAGAGATTTTGTGTGTGCATACATGACAGCATGAGTGCATTCTGTGTATCTACACTATTCCTTGAAGCTATCCATTTTCTGAAAGATTAAAAATGGTTTAAGCACATAAACAGCATAAATAATCATTTGTACACAGAAAACAAACACACTTGAGTATGCCAGATAGAGCTCTCATCAGCGTAAATGCTCAATTTGAAATAAACAACAAGAAATAAGTGATCCAACATGACTGCCCAGATTCGTCCACCAGACAGAAACATACAGGAGCATTTTATACGATGTCAGCATATTACACTGACTAGCATTCTAGACACCAAACTGAAGATTTTGTATAAAGCATCTCCAAAGCCATCTAAAATCTTCAGACTTCCAGAGGAAAAGATACCCAAGCATCTTTTTTATTCACCACAGTGAAGGTGTCCAAGTGACTTTTAACTGTCCTCTACTAATTCCACACAGGAACCTTTTAATGGTAATACCACAGTGTTAAAAACCATTTATTAATAATAATATATAAGAGCCAAACCATTTCATGATAATACATAAGAGCCATTTAAATTAGTTTTTTTCCTCCTTGTGATGAAGCGTTAAGAACAGTGATCTTAAAATCAACTGATTCCTAGAGCTGGCAGTCCAGTAAGTCCCCAGTACCTGCAGAGAGCCTTACTGAGAACAGGCAGCTCAGTGAGAGTAACAGAAACTGGGCTTGGGCTGAAGGCAACTAATATGAAAAAAGGAGTATTCTCAAGAATACTTTTAAATACCTTTCAACTTCAGTGGCAGTCATTTAGAAAGAAAGCAATTGTGGAAGTCCCCATAAGAGAACATTCCTTACCAGCACTTGCTGGAAAAAAAAAATCCCTTCACTAATGCACATCTTTTAAATATTAAATACATTTCCTCAAAAGCAGCATATATACTGGCACCACTTTTGAAGAAAATTACGAGTCTGCCTTATTTCTTAATTCAGATAATTCTGCTGGATTTATTCTGACTTTACGTTTTTTAAAGTATGCACTTCTGTTTGGATTTCACACAAAACAAATGCACTTCTACATTCTCAAGAGAATTCTCAGGTCTCAGTATCACATCTCCTTTGAGGGGGTTGCACTATATTGCAAAACTAACCTCGGGCCTAGCTGCTGCAGAATGTGGCTGAATGTGTTTAGCTGCCACAAGCATTGGACCATTGCTGCAAAGTGGTAGCATCCCTTGGGACTCACCAGGATTTAATCCCTGATCTTCCAATATCTCTCTCATCATGGGGAACGGAATGGGACAGGCATCCACCTCTCCCAGGGCAACACATCTCCCTGCAACTTTCACCCCCAGCAGACATACTCTCTACGATGCTGTTAAAATATCTGGTACTGGTTCCAAGTAAATATAAAGCAAACTTCAGCTGGCTTAAATGCTAAAATGAGCTTTCACTCACAGCTGTTGCAGAAACTAAGCTAAGAATGTAAAAGTGGCAGTTCACAGACACAGGGGGAACTAGCTAACAAATATCCCTTGGAGCCATAAAGTAAGTAGGATAAATACACTTAAGTTCTGGAAAGACGTCCTGTCATATTTCTCCAGCATGGTACAGAAGAGCTTCAGATGGATTGGAGAGATTTGTTGATGTAAGGAACAGGAAAAAAATGCAGAATCTTTGTTTACCTAGATCTGTGGTTTCTAAGTATCTACTTTTTACTACGTTCATTTCTTGACTCAAACTGAAAATGGGAATTCACCCTTTTCTCTTTTTTTCCTGTCCAATGTGCAGATGGGGCATATTTTCGTTCACTCCATCAATCCCTGCCCCCTACGCACAAACTCACATACATGCACCTAGCCAGTGGAAAAGAAAAAAGGGTTACTCATTAATCCATTCTACAAAGCTTTCCAAACTGAAATGGGTGGGTTCTACACCTCCAGGAAGGAGCAATATATAGGTAGGTATGTAGCATACCTGAGCACCGCTCAAACTGAAGTGTTCATCTTGAATAGCACAACTTTGCTCCTGGCACATTTTAAAACAAAGCTCATCAGTATGGAGAGGATGATTCTTTTCTGTATGCTTTTCTTCTGTTCCAGTATGGCACTGACTGCAGCTCCACACAAAATAGCAAAATACAAACAGCTTCTCAAGACAATTAAACGGTTAGAAAACACAGTGAAAGATAAGGTAAGCAAAACGTTTGTTATAATATTGAAATTATTTTCAAGCATTATGTATTGCTCAGAATATATCTTGTGAGGGACATCACTTTCAAATGTTAAACTTTTCTAACTTAGATCTGTTTTATTGTAGGATGTTGAATTGCTGTATACACCAGAAAACCTTGTGGTGAGACTGTTTTAACATTTCTTTCTAATTATATCACTTTGATTTTGTACTGGTTTATTCCATTGATAAATGGCAGATGCTTTCTTCTTCACACCTCTGACCTTGTACTCTTAATGCAAGCTAGACTGAATAAGAAAATACTTTGGTTTCTGTATTTTTAACAGCAGAATTGTTTATATTATGCATTCTTAATCAGTATTTTGCTATCATGTGTGTATTCTAACACACCCACAGATTCAAATCTGTATGCATTCCATTTACTCAAGAACTGGTGCTAAGAGTAAGGATTCGTATGAGATCCAGATAAGCAGCCATGCTCTTGGGAATGCAGGTTTTGGGAGTGGAAGTGCCTCCAGCTGCCACGAGCTCTGGCTGCACTGGGAGCATTGCTGAGCCGAACCAAAAGGGACCCCCCCTTTCCCTTCCACTGAAGCTGAACACCAAGGGTGGCACTGTAAGGCCATATTACATAGCGCTTCCTCCCTAGGTAGTCACACTGGTTTATCTGAGACTATTTGTATGCAAGGGTTGTGCTGTCAATGGGAGGATAAAACTGCATTCTGCAAGTATTCTCTTTGGATTAGAACTAGCTACAATTAGCACAACAGGTCCCTGTGAATCCCTTTTAAAAACAGATATTTACTTATACATTATTTAATGCGTGTTCCAAGGTCAGGAACATCTTAAATATAGTAAATTACACCAGAGTCACAGAAAGTGTGTGCAGACTTGAAAGTGGCAGCATGTAGGATTTACTGTGAAATTAAATGCTAATAATAGTTACAGCATATTTTAAAAGTTTAGAAGGTAAATGCGTCCTGCTTTCTTTTGATAATCCCCAACACGCAACAAAGGTCTAGAGCTAGCCGTGGCTAATCTAATGTTATACTTCTCTTGTTATTAGCTGTCCTAAGTTAACCCATAATTTTGATTTTTGAGCCCTGACAACTATTTCAGAAAGCAAACAGTTTTGATCCGCATACAAAAATCATCATTAATCATAGTTTTTTGAAAAGCGCTCATAGAGTACAGTAATTTACTCAGGACTGTAAACTCTCTTGCTAAACAACGACAAGAAGAAAGGAAAAAAACTCACCTTATTTCACACAGGTTTTGTTAGCTTCCTCCTAGGCTTTACAGTTGGATGCATTTTTTACTTGCCAAAAACATACAGAAGCATTACCAAAACAGATACATTCCTTCTCATTGCTAGAAACTACAGCAGTGCAAAAACCTAATACACCTTAACTAATGGCTTGGGTTTTTTCCTTAACACCCTTTCTAACTTGTGGTGTCAAAGTGAAAAGAAGGAGATGATTAGCTGTCATTTTACTGCAGTGTTTGCCACTGCCTCCGAAACAAAGCAAATACAACTAGTGACTAATCGCTTAATCAGTTTTGTTTTTTTTTCTCTAAAAACATGGTCACCTCAGGAAGGAAGACAACAGTTTATTTGCAGCTTAGGGCTTTACAGCCTGATTCTGGGAGGTCCCAAGTACCTCTGCGGAAAACTAGAGGGGACAGAAAATTCACATATTTAGAAGGTACTAAGCTGATACAGGTTCAAGCTCTGATGAAAACCTCAAACAAATAAATTAGTGTGCTAATAGTGATTGCCACCAGGAACCACACTAACAAACCTTTCATCCTACAGGGTGAAATTTACATTCACTGATTTGCCAGATACTAAGATATGAATTACAGTGTGCCAACGCTGCACTCAGGATGATTAGGTGCAATTACACCCTAATGAAACTGTATTTAATGAAAGTCTTTCATAGAACTGTATTTCAAATATCAAAATACTGTTTCTATGATAACCTGCTTCTGCCAGATTTACATTGGGCCTTGAATATTCATGAAGAAGACTACCTTTTATAACATCAAAAATTCAGTGGTTTATCACTGTTATGTTTTGGCTTCCTTGAGGTTCCTGTGAGTGGACTGAGTGTTAGCCCCAATTCAATCCCACACATTTTCTTTGTACAGGCAATAATGAAATATCTTTTTTTTTTTAAAAAAAAAAAAAGGAGGTAAGAAGTTTAAAAGCTCAGAGGACATCAATTCAAGGGAGAAGGTGCTGAAGCTGAAAAAGTAGTCTTATGGCTGAAGTGATTCAGGACCGGAGGGGAAATAAGATTTATTGCTGGGGATTGACACTGCAGCTGAAGCCAGTGACACAATGCTGATCTACATCAGCTCAGCATCTAACCCCGCTGATCGCTAATTCAGGAAGTGAAGGCTTTTCAGGCTAATCTGTAAAGTTAGTTTGAGTCAGAGTATTGCTGCAAACTGTTCTGATACAAACATTTTACATGTTTGCCTAGCCTCCCGCAGACATTACCACTGGCCTTTGCTTTTTAATGCCCCTTCATCAAAGTGCTTAACCATCACTACATACTAAACCCCACAATCCTTGTGGTCCTCTAACTGTTGGCCTGCATACAGCTAACTGTTAACTCAGCAAAAAAAAAAAAAAAAAAAAAAAAAAAAAAAGCAGCATATATGAGAAATGCTGGTTTCTCAGCTCATCACGGATGAGGCAGAAAATGTTTTCAGTTTCAGCTGGAAAATTGATCTCTTTAAAGACGAGTAGTTTTTTTCCAGTAAGCAAGACTAGTTATGGTAAGAAGCTTGAAACGAACATAAATGTGTGGTTTTTAAGGAAAATAAAATGTTATAGCTAACCAATATAAAATGTTGCTATTAAAATTTGCTATAAGCAACATACATGAAGGTTGCCTTGTCCTTGCCAAAGTGGCAAACTGCAGTGGCATCCAATAAACCAGATGAGATTCAGCTTCAGTAGCAGTTGGTATGCAAAACAGCGATGATGGCTTCAGCACCTTTCTAGTATGTGTAATCAGCAGTTCTAAATGTTTCCTTCTTTGGAAAATAGCAAGTTAGAAATTGGCTTCAGTAAACATTGCTTTTCTTTCTCTGTTGACTGTAGGTTAGTTTTGGTGATACTTTCCATAGCCGTGTGTCTAGCAAAGGAAAACAGCCACTGTGCAGGAAAAGAGATTCTGGGAAGCCTGTCCTTCTCTTAGCTTCAGTAAAATTAACATGCAACTGCATCATGACAGGAAAACAGGTTGCTTTAACTCCAGATAAGCAGCAGCAACAGAAAATTGATATCTTCAGAATAGATGGCTTCTTTTTCATGTTAGATACAGATGGTGCTTACTTTAATCGACAGGTTTAACATGCACCTCAATTTAAAGCAGCACACTAGAACAATTCAAGCCAGGAGCCTGTTTCCTTATCCCGCCTCTCATCCTCAAACCCTCTTTTCCCTTTAGTAACGTAACTAACTTATTTTACCACCTTCATTTCCCATGCTATCAAGTGGGATCATTTCAATAGTATTTGAAAACATGCAGTTCTATATCAATTCTAAGCATAATTATTAAATAGGTAAAACTAAAAATGGCACAAAAATTATGAAGAAAAATGTATATTCCCACATGTAACACTGAGTAAAGTCCGGAGTGATATTAATAATTTTTAAAAAAGAAAATACTCATCCTGTGCTTGTGAAAATTTACTACATGTAACATGATCTACTGTTGAGTAGCATTTTCTTTCAATTGGTGTCACGATTAATATCCAAGGGGACATTTTAGGCAATATTTTATGAGGAAATACCTAAGTAATTATCAAAGAACAGGCAGAGTAAATGTTAAAATCTCTTGCATATGCAAAACTAACTTAAAAAAAAAAAAAAGGAGTGTGGTTGAAACTTCTCAATTAGTATCCTGGATACTTACTTTTGCACATAGGCTACAACCTAACACATACAGGAAAAATTGCTGTAATGTCTGTTTTAAAACTGTTCCTTCTTTTCCTGCCCTAGGATGAATGCCTGTTCACTGCTGTGACCTGCTTCCAAAAGGGCACATTGAAATTACAACCAGAAAACAGTCAAGTGCATTCCACATTCACCCAAAGCATTGAAATCTTGAAAAGATTCACCCTCAGCAACCCTGGAAAGGTAGGATTTCCTTACAATGCTCACAATCGTGATCATTGCTCCTTATTTTCTATAACAGACACCACCTGCAATGGTGTAATTGTATAAAGCAAACTTCTTAGAAAAACTGACCTGCCTTTCATTACTTCGGAAATTAAAAATGCCCAGTTTTCTGTACTTATGGAAGAGGTGTTCACTCTGTTGCATGTAGATGCTTGGCAACCATGCGATGTGCCAGACAAAAGCACAAGGATTACTACAAAAAGTGTGAACAAAAGGTGTAATTACTATATTCTTTCCCTTTCTGAAGTAGACTATGTCTCAGCTTTTCTATTTGTAAAAGGCTTTGATTGCAACCCTCTTGATTTTTCAGTATGAAAGCTTGAAGTATTATTTATGATTTAGATGTGCTGTTTAGAAGTGGCATGATTTTCTTTATCTTCCAGCAATGTGAGTCTTCATGTGAATCTTATGAGAAAAAAACTCCCAAAGAGTTTTTGAAGAGCTTTGCAAAACTAATCCAAAAGGTAATCAAGAGTTGATCCCTCCTGGATGCTTTCGACATTTTGCAAACAATTAGATATCTTTATTTGATACTATTTCTAATAATGCATTGTTTTGTTTTTACAGTTACTCAAGGACTAATAGAGGACACACCGGAGCTGAAGGCTACTGAAAATCTACTATTTAAAGCAGACACTATGTTATTTAAGACAACGTGAAAATGTAAATATTTTCCATTGCTACTGTGCTGTACTTTGTGTGTGTGGTAAGTGAAAGACTCTCCCAAAATTTTAAGGGGTCTTATTTGGATGGCTATTCATAAGAGAGATACTCTTTTGAAAGCGATCTTAGCCTCACCTTACAGTGAAAATTCAATTGTAATTTCACAAAAATAGGTTCTCTTAAGGGATTTAACTATCACCTTCTACTGAAATAGAAATACCTGAGATGGGTACTCCTGTCTTTTTGCTTTGATCTTAAATGAATATCAGAGATGTCCAAAACTTTTTAAAGAAAATGAACCAAATAATTATCAGATGCTTTGAAGCCTCAGAAAGTATCTACATGGACCAATTTCCTTATCTCCAATAATACCACACACACATTTTTATTTCTAAGTTCTTAGACTATATCTTAGCTAATTATGCAAAAATATCCTGCATTTAACTCTATTATAAATACTGGAAAAATATTTACAAATCATACTGTATAGCATATTGAAGTTAATGGCACATTTGCCATGGGTTTCAATAGGGAGAAGAGTAACCTTTATGCTCTAAGTAGAGATACAGGATTCTATGGGCAAAAACACATTTCAGAAGATGGAATTCCACTTAGACACCCTCAACTTAATGTGATAAATACAGCAGAGGCACAACAGGCTGCTATGACCAGCCACTGCAAAAGGTCCAACAACTACAGTAATTGATGCTTATTCAGAGTGAAGCAGCTCAAAGGCATATTGCTCTTTCTCGGGTGACAATATTCTACACATATATTCATGTACCACTAACACTATTCCTTCTCTCTACTCGATTTTAAAGGTTTAAGTTTTAATTACAATTTTTTCTTTAAAAACTGTCAAGTTCTTTGTTATGTGGAAACTTGCCTGTACAGCTTCCGAATGCTGAACATTTCTGTGGAATTATGGCCAGAGATACTATTGAAACTTTCTAAAATAAAAGTGAGTATCATAGCACTTAAAACTAGTTTTTAGCAGCTTAATTACATACCACCATATTCTGCTTGCAATGATTCTGTACCTCTAGACTCTTCCATGTTAGAAAGTAAGTGTTAATTTATCCCCAAACAGATATTAGCCCCACAGGAGGAGGAAACTGATCTTGGAAGACAGTGTAAAGCCTTCTAGTAAAAATTAACCTTTAATCTAATTTTCTCTCTACTTAGTAGAAATGCGGTATAGAGAGGAAACTGGAAAACTACATCTAGTGTTACAATGGAAAATGACAAGCTTAGTTACCTCCAAAAATAATGAGGTAGTATTAAAAATATTTCCATTCCTACTAGCATCAGCCTAAAGAAAAACTTATACAAAAAAACTTTTTTGCCTCCGTATTTTTGCTGTCCTGAAATGTGAATCTCCTCAAAAACATCTCAGAGATGGAAGGAAGATCCTCAGGCCAACAACAAATCAAGTTTCCACAGTGAGCTCTCCTTGTTTCTGGTGATGACCATTTTGATTTAGATTGTCTTATTTTTTTCTATTTCAAAATCTGCTTTTCCTCTGAGTAACGTTCTGTCTCACACCTCAATTTTTCCACATTACTACATGAGAATTAACATTCTAAACATGAACTACCACTCATATGTAAGCAATCAAGCTACTAAGTTTAAATGGTGTTCTGCATCTTTTATACCCATTCCTCTGACCTTGCTACCCATAAAGTCTTAATCACCAATTGGTAAGCAATATGCAAAGCTGCTGCTCCAACTGCAATTGATTTTAAAGTTAAAGAAGTAGAGAAAGTAAAACTTAATCTCAGATTTTGATAAAAACAACTGGGAAAATATTAAAGCAAGTCCTGTTATTGCAGAGTACTTGCTGATGTTTCTACAATGTCACATTTACATTTTTATGGAAGAGTTTAACTGGATGTCTTTATCATAAACTAAGTGCTTTTTTTGGTGAGTCCTAGAAGGCCAACTAGTAAACCAGCACTCTTCATTCACCTCCATTGAATATTTGTATGTGCAGGGTTTTGGGGAAAAAGCTTTATTTTTGTATAAAGAATACAGTATGGGGTTTTTTTATTTGTAAATGTCTTTTCCAGTAATACGCTAAATGCATTCAAATAATTATTCTAAAAGAGACTGTTAAAATTCTTGTTTTGATGAAAAACTCTTGTACAGATGAAATGTGATTAGCCTACCCTAACAAAGAGAACATTGCATATTACATATTTATTAGTAATCATTATCAAGCATTGAGAAGCAGCTTTTGTACCTGGGATGGGTATTTTACAACAAAAAAGCAATTTCCTACCAGAATGTCATAAGCTAACTGTTTACTCCTGCCTACACTGGAACAAGTTCTGGGTTTTGTACACAAGGCAGCATGTAATGCAATAAGTAATGTAGCTATTTCTGTTCAGTGACTACGGATCTGATCATACCAAGCATAGCGCTAAAGGGTTTTTTGTTGTTTTAAACGTAATATACTCGTTTGTTAATTGAGGATATTTCTTGCACCTGCAGAACAACATAATTCAAAACGTTCAGTCATAGGATTAAAAAAAAATAGTGAGAAACTGTAACAACTGTAACAGTGTTAATTGTTCTCAGCTATTGAAGAAAACTGTGTTTATTGGACAACCTGGTCCAGATATGTATGCGGAATATTAATCATAAAATTATTACAGATGATCTTAGTTAATACCACACTTCTGGGCAGTGCCAGCACAATCACTGTGGGCAATTTTGTATACTTCACATACACTTTGACTCACCCAATGCTGAGGCCTTGTGCTAACTCTTCAATTTGTCAGAGTTATAAAAGGTTGAGTGTATTATTCAAGGTGTGTTATTTGAATCCCAAATGAAGAACAGGAAATCAGTGAAGGACAGATCAATCTTCAAGAAGACATCATCTTGTTCTTCAACACCGTTCTCAGGAGAAAAAATGAAGATGCCCCAGGAGGAACTTGTGATCCTAGGAAGGACTAGTTATCACAATTCCAGATGTCTACATGATCTGGACTTATTTTTATTTGTAAGATGAACTCTCTTTGTACTAATTGCACCCTCTGCAGAAACAATGTATGTTTCATTAACTGAATACATACAGTAAGCCATAAAAGCTCATTACCTCCCAGGGAGGTTTTACAATGTATTTATTATTTTGGTTCCAAGTGCTCTTTGCAGACACTTCAAGATGTGTTTTAGCATGGTATATACAATTCTGTATAATATTTACTTCTCCTGAGAAGATTCTTTATTTTTATACCAATTGACTCATCTAATTTAATTATTTATTGCATTTCTGTGAATGGAATGTTCATACTAAGGACTATGTGGTCTGATTTATTTATATGCCTGTGATATTAAATAATTTTAGCTAATACAACTTTCTCTTGTTCTTTTCTTTAAAAACTTCTGACTATTCCTACCCTGACAGTGGCCCATAATACCCCTTAGCGAACTTTACTAGCCTACACTGTCACAGGTTTTCCAGATCAGATCAGGGACATGGTACTTAAAGTTTATCTTCCCCCTGTTCTTATAACTGTTAAGGGGTCATTATTTTTTTATTGTTCCCATCTCATTTGAAAATCTCTTTTAAAAATTGGCTTTCAGGCTTAATAAATTCTTTTTGACAAGCTCACAACAGGTTCAGTCATGTCACCTAGATTTCTTTCGACTGACATGAACAAAAATCAGGTAACTTCATGTATTAGTCTACACGGAATAAAGTAAAACACCTGAAAATGTAACTCCAGAAGTTACAATTATCCAGTCTGGTTTTCACTGTTCTGTCTCCTTATCTTACTTTTCTCTTGGTTTGAAATGTCAATCCTTTTTCGCCTCTCAATTTGATAGCATGTGTTAAAGTTCTCAAAAATTAGTATTTTTAGCTATACTATATAAAGGTAGCTATGGTTTATCTTTTATAAAAATGCCTTTTCCCTAAAATGTAACAAAAATGGACTCTGTTCCAACAAACAGTCACAAAGCTCTAACAAAAACAAAGACTAAACAGTTGAACAGCTATTCCTTCTATCCTCATCTGTTCAGAAAACAGACTCAAATATTATCTCCTTCCACTCTGTTTCTTGTCATCACACATCTGCATTGGTTGGGCCTGATTTTCTTTAAAAAACAAACAAAAAAAACACATTCAAAAATAAATGAAAACAAATAGAAAGTGTCATAAAACACTGAAGATTTGAGGCATAAACTGCTCCTATGCGTAGGACAGAGGACAATGTGCAGGACAAGGCTGCTATGATCTTTCTCCTAGAAGACAGGTAGTGCTGCTCTGCCCAGTAGGGATTTTCCTCTTGAAAAAAGATCCAACAGACTCCCAAGGAGCTGGACGTGCTAGTTGCCTCCTGTTGGCTCCCAAATAGTTCACTGGTGGTGGACACCTGAATCTGCAGCCCAGGTCACCCTGTAGAAGTGTCTTTAATTGAAGGAAAAGGGGGATAGGGTCTAATCCAAGCAATCCCTCCTATGTTTGCTCACAAGAAAGCAGTGCGAGTCAGGTATGGTGGGACTTATCCAGAGTTAACTGTAAGTCAAATCTGAGCCATTTGTCCACTCAATGAAGAGATGCAGACATACCCAGGAACAAGTCATCCCACTCCAAACTATGTATGCATTTAATTTTGCACATATACACTGCTTTTATTTCTTACTTGCATCTTTCAGTATTTCCACCTACAACTACAATCACATTAGAAAGTTCAGGAAAGAAAATATTTGAAGCAGAAATTTCTTTGCTTTTAAAATCAAAGAAAATTGAAAAATAAACACAGATTAAATATGTAAGTATGATTTCAGAAATATTATTAGTGGCTGATCGAACCGTGTCTCTGCTTTGAACAACTGATAGTGTGCAAGTATGCTGACATTGCACTGTGGGAAGCCAACAGACCCAAAAGCCCTGTGGCCAGGCTACTTTG